TGAGACCTAACGTGAACACAAGCTCCTCTAAGGTCATGAGTTAAGTCACTCACAGTCAAGACATCTGTCTTTGCCTCAATAAATTTTCCTACTTAGTGAGCTTGGACAGCTCAAAGACAGCTTTGTGCAGATAAACAAGCTTGTCCTCTGTGGGACAAGCTAGACAGAGGTAGCACACTTTGACCCAGTGTCATTTCCTCCTCCCTCTTGCTGTTAAAAAAAAAAAAAAAAAACATCCCCAGAAAAGCCTAAAGCCTCAGCTGAGCCAATTAACAAACCAAATACAGGCAGCCAGTTTCAGATTGAAGGCAATGTTTCAATGTGAATGTTTCCCCCACATTCCCTTTCCATTCAAATCTTTCCTTCCTGCCAATCTCTGTAGGTCCTCAGACAACTCTAAATAAGACAAAAAAAAAAAAAAAAAAAAAAAAGACATGAAACTTTCCTTCCCTCCAGTAAGTAAAACTTTGCTCCCTTTCAAATGCTACTTCTCTGTCTCCAGAATGACTTTTCTACCAGAGGCATGTCAGTCCCTCATGCCAGAGCTGCCACGCAGCTTTTCAAATACCTTTAGACAAAGCATGACCTCACATGTTGAGCCATCTTTGAATCAGGAAAAAAAGAAATAATACATATGAAGTGCCTAGCACAGTACCTACTCAGTAAGTACGAGATTTTATTAATAGTATATAATTAATTCACCAAAAACATTTTTAATGATAGTATTTTTGGTACATACTTTGGCAACATATATATAATAAAGATATACAGAAAACCCGCAATGGCTCCCACAGAAGGATGACACATAAAGTTCACAAAATGTTCTGGTTTTAGGCAGTGGAGATGCTAGTAACCCTGACTTGATCCTTACACATTGTAGACATGGACCAAATTATCACAGTGTACCCCATAAATATGCACCATTAGTCTGTGCCAATTCTTTAAAAATTTCCTTTGAATTTACTTAACAGTCTACCATATTGTAGGCATTTGGTCCTATAGAAAACAGCAAGGTAAAGGCAGTCTGATTTCTACCTTTTGGAAGTACAGAATTTAGGGAGAAAAGACTGTAGGTGCACACTGTACAGGCCAAGCATGTGTGATAAGGCAAAACATGAGCCAACTCTAGAGAACCACCAAGAAGGTTCCATCTGACATATCCTTCTGATAGCTTTGAAGTCAAGAGAAACCAGACAGAGGGCTGTCATTGCAACCCAAGAGTACGCACACCTAGTGAGACTTGATCGGTGGACAGGAGAACTGAAGGAAGGGCACAGGCCCGAGCTCACCAAATGATGGTAAAAGTGTACCAGCATGATGGGCACCTGGAAAGGAAAGAGGCCTAGAATTGCTGCCTCTCTTGTGAGTGAGGCTTTGCACAGTGCCTCCGAGTACTGGGGGCATGGTGCCACAAGCCCTTCCTTTCAGATAGGAACAGAGTTGGACCTTCTGTCATAAATCTTATTCTGAGTACTATCTGGAGATGGGAGGACAGCTGCACAACTAATTTTAGATTCATGCTAGAGAAGCAGAGCAGGTTTAATCTTCATGGGAGGGAGGAGTCATAGCAATACCACACTGGGCAGCTACGCCTTCAAAGACATCTTGGAATAACTTTCCCATAGCTTGGGAGCACTTGAAGGATGATACTCAATAAGGCTATTTATGCCCCTGGGTCCTGTTATTTCATCCCCTTTCTGGAAGACCCCTTAGCCCACAAGTTCTGCATTCCAGTGGAGTAGAGAAGAATGCACTTGCGTACCTCTTAGTTACTATTTGGAGGATGGGAATCACGAGAAGATATGGAAACTGGCAGAAAGTCCCATCACCATATTCTACTGCAGCCTCTGCTGCCTGATCTGGGTCAAAGAGCTAGTTATCTAATATCTATATTAATAATGCCTGACAATTGTCTAGCACATCAGAGCTCACAAGGAGGTGACTTGGTATTCATGCTTTGAGAAATGTCCAAATTCAGTTTAAAAAATGTTAAATGACTATCCAAGGAATCGGCTAGAAGAGAGGGCTCCAACTTCCAACAGGCATCATACTCAGCAACTTTGCCCTTATCTTTCTATTGAGAGTTAGAGGGACAGCAAAAGACAGAAAGACAGGTAGACTGGGGGAAGAATTCAAAAGCAGAGGGAACAGATATTTAGTCTTTGAAAGGAAATAGCCACTCAACTGAGGAGAAAGATTCCCCACCATTAAGCAAATTGTTCCATGCGTATGAGCCATTTAGGTGGTAAAAGAAATTTAAGCAAACTTTAACTGCTTATGATTGTCTTGCATATGGTGGTTTTAGAAATAAAGTGCTGGAAATAGACTATAGAAGAAACTCTAGTGGTGCTTTAAAAGCTGAGGTTCATGTATCAGGAAGGGTTTAAATCCTAGCTCTTTCACTTAAATAGCAGCAGGTTACTTAAACCTCTTTCAGGTACAATTTTTTTTTCCTGTAAATTTGGGGACAGTAATATCACCTGCCTCACAGAGGAGGGGAAGAGACTCAAATAAGGAAATGCATGCCAAGAGCTTAGTTCTGGGTAGCTAATAAATATCATGCCATGATGGCTATATTGTAGTGGTCAGTCAAAACTCCTCTCCTCTATGGAGGTTTGGTTTTATTTGGCATTTGGCATTTGGCTAAAGGAGGAGAATCATCTTGCCCAAAGTTTCTGAGACAAACTGGACATGCAGAAATGCATGAGAACTGTGGAAGCTTCATTTTCTTGTAGGAAGCTTTGGACCCCTGGAATTTCTTAGCATTGCTTTCTCATTCTTCCACACCACAATGATCAGATCTGTACCTGAATTTGACTCTCTTTGTAGGAAAAAAACAAGACCAACTTACCACTTGGCCACAGTATCCTGAATTGTTTATTGGTTTGTTCCTTTGTTTGTTTTGCCGAACTGGGGATTCAACTCTGGGCTTTGCTTGCCAGGCAAGTGCTTATTCTACTGAGCTATCTCTCCAGCCCACAAGAGATCATGTCTGCATCTCATACTGTGAATAACTATTATGAAGACAACAAGATGCAGTGTATTAATTATTGTAACTGTCCTACTAAACTGTTTTTGAAACTGTCTCGTTGCTATTTCTTTCTCATTAAAATTAATTTTAAAAATTTTAAGAGAAGAAAACAATAGAAATGACATTTGTGAATCTCTGAGAAGGAGGCTCTTCTGGTTTGTTGCTTTGTTCCTGCATGCATGGCATGAAAGAGGAAGATAATAAAACTTCTCAGGATCCAAGAAACAAGGGCCCTCATACCTTGATACCCAAGGTGAGCCAGGCAGGGTTTCCTGGGAAGCCACCCAAACATGTTACGTCATAATAAAAAGGAGCTAACTGCATGAGACTCCTATATGAATGAGCCAAGTAATCATCACAAAGATTTTCACAAAAAAATAAAGAAGATATTTTTGAGCTTGTGAACATCTTCATTATGACAGCTTCAGATTAGGAGTAGCCTTAGAAATAGGGCAGAAATATGAAGTTCACTGAGTTGCTATCACAGGACATGTTGAGATGGCAGATCTCAGCAACAAAAGCATGCACACTATGATAAAAATGAGACAGGTCCAAGTCCTATCCAAATGGACACAAGATAATTAAAGACAAGCATGCCTTTCCATCAATACTTGGAACTCCCATAGCTGCTTCGAACATAAGTATGCCTTCTTAAGAGGGGGAAGAAGAGGAAAACCCAGAATGAACCACAGAATCACTAATCTGACTCATATCCTGATAATGCAGTAATTCAGATTTTTGGTAAAAGCGCAAATTGAAGGCAAATAAGGTATAACTACAGAAAAACAAAGCTTTGTGAGTCTATTGTGCCTTTATTTGTGACAGAAGCTTCATGACTAGTAGATGAGGTCTTTTGGTGGGATGCAGCTGAATCCTATTTTGTAATAAAAATGTGTAGCTTAGAGGAGAGATTTCTAAAGTGAAACTTCAAAAAATGGTGGTCTGTAAAATAAGTAGTTCCCTGGGCAAATAAGATCTGGAACATGATCATAGATATTCTTAATATGTGTTAACATCAGAAAGATACTGCAGAGGTTAGTGGTAAAGAAACCTAGCTAACTTTGCTTATCCCAGGACTTCCCAATTTATTTGGGGATTTTTTTTTGACTGAGGTGTAATGTATTTCACCCCAGGAAACACTGGTGTAGAGAGCTGCAGGTGAGAATGGATGATAATGGCCTAACTGCAGTGACCCAAGAGAAAACTAATCATGTGGAGTATGGGCCTAAAACGGATGGGGGAAGGTAGAGAATATCAGGGCTGGGGCACAGAAATGCTGCTTGCTAAATTACCCCGTACAGCTTGGAAATTGGCTGGATTTCCTCTAATACTCTTTCAAGGTTCTTGCAGAGTCACTCCCACAAATGATGGATCTTAATGGTTCCAAATATCTCTAAAGCCTTTCTGTATAACCATCTCCCTTTTTAACATGGTGATTCATGCTACTCGAACAAGCAGAGGCAGAGAAAATAGGCTGAGCTTCATTTTCCAATCATAAAAATACATATCAGGACCTTCATTCAACCTATGATGGACTAGTATAAGGCCCAGAACTCATATGCGAAGTTTAACTGGCTGATTCTTTGGTGATATTTTCACTTCTAGACTGGCTTATTTATTGTTATAGGTAAAAGGATACACCTGAAGGCTTCAAATAAAACAAACAAATAAAAAGCCATGAGACGATGAATCTGAAAGTTGGATGCAAATCTCCACACTGCCTTTTCCAAGCAGTGTGTACTGAGCTAGATCACTGGCTAAATTTAGTTTCTCCACCTAAAAATGAGGCCAACAATACACTGAGTCAAGGTCATTATGAAGGTGAGAGGAAGTGACGTAAGGGTGAGGAGGGATGTGAGGAGAGATGAGATACCATCATACCATAGCAACAAGAGGGAACCCACCCCCAGAGGGGACTAGAAATATCATCTGTTACAAAAAGGTAGAAGTACTATGAAGGTATCAGTACCTGATTGTTCGAGTGTGCTTTCGGGTATAAGGAGTAATAACCTTGAAAAGCAGTTCCATTGCTCCATTAATCCCCAGCATGGCTCCTGTTGTGACTGAGAAAGACAAAAGCACAGTAGCTGTAGTTGTCACGAGTGGGTAGGTTAACACATCTTAGACCAACTTCTTTAAAACTTTAAGAGAATTAGCATATTCCTCTAAAAATAAAATCAACACACTAACTACAAGGGGCAACCTAAGAAGTACCTGCCTTTCTTTTCCACCTTGGATGCAAATTCCCTTCAACTTTGGTGCGTGGATCTTCCATGAGCAAGGCAATGACTTGACCTTGGCTTTATTAGGTCAAAGGGGCAGTCAGTTTCCGCACTCATGGGTAATTCATCTGGAAAAGTTTCCCATTTTAGCACACTGGGATGGTTATAAAAATAAAGTCATAACACATGCCTGTGATTCTAGCACTCAGGAGGCTCAGGCAGAAGAATCACTGTGAGTTCGAGGCCAGCCTGGGCTGTACAGCAAGATCCTAACAAACGAAACAAAAAGTCATAGATTTTTTTTTTTTTTTGCTTGTCTATTTGTTTCTAAAGTAAAAATAGTTTATTTGTGACCCAGTACACAGAAGAAGTGTTTCTTTCACGTCACAGACTTCACTTCCAACTCCTTGGAATGTTCACTTCTTTGGCTTAAAGGAGAGGCTGCGGGGAAGCCGGGCACCCTGGGTGACTAGCGTAAGGGGCTGGGGTGTCTCCACGAGAAGTGCCCGGGGCTGTTCATCACAAGTGGATTCTGTGGGACATTAGAGGGTCTGGGGGAGCCCGGAGTTCAGTCGTCTCCACCACACAGGTACAGCAGCGCTTTCTGGTAGTCATCCTTGGTGTCTTGCTGGAAGCAGTAGTATGGGAACTTGCCATACTTCTTCTTGAACTCAGACCTGATTTTCAACATGTCCACCTCACAGTGGGAGACCATGATTCCGATCAGGACCTTGTCGCAAGTGTCCTTGCCCTTTATAGAGTCATACAGCTGGTCAGCAAAGTACAGGGGCTTGTACTGGGTGTACCAGATCAGGTTCAGGAAGGCATTTTCTGAGTCTTCTTTGACTTCCTTCTTGATACTCTCCAACATGTCGTAGGGGCTGTCACTCTTGTATCTATAGAAAACTTTCTGCAGGTGGCACACGCTCAGCTCCATCATAAGGCTGATCCACTTGGGAACATCGTTCCTTCCCTGTTCATACCAGCATCATAGAGATCCCAGGCATCTTGGTCAATGAGCTCATAATCAATGACAGAGCCGTCCCCTGCTCATCTATCCTTGGTGAGGGCAACCATCAGCTTGCGGAAGGTACCGGATGTATTAGAAACGATGTCCTTCTCGAGGTCGGTCTTGTACATTTCCTTGTACACTCTGTTAATCTCCTGTAGTTTCTGGTTGGTTCTGGAGTAGATGACCTCGATGAAAGAGTCCTCATCACTCCCCAGTCCCTTCATGGAGGTTTTCAGCTCAGAAGCATTGTAATGAGCAAGTGTTTTCAATAAGCCCAAAATCACCGCTCCAGGTGGCCAAATAAGGCTGACTTCAGTGATGCGAGCTCCTTTTTGGTCCTTCTGTGGTACGCAAAGGTCATGTCCTGTCTCTTCGGATTGCTGCGGTTGGTCAGAATGTTGACGATGGTGACCTTGCCCACGTCTTTGGTCTGATGGCTGTCTCGATGTTCAGGGTGTTCTACTCTGCATCAAAGTTGATGTGGGCTTTAATGGACCCATAGGCACTGGACGGGGGAGCGGTAGAGTGATCTCCCTCCAAGCTTGCACAGAATTCCATCAATAGTAGACATTTTGAATGAAGCTGCGCCGCGCCAACTGAGCAGATTGAGCTAGCATCCAGGGCCTCATATATCTTTTTTTTTTTCTCTATTAGAAACTTTTTATTTAAATGTGCCAAATAAAACCCCACAGTTTTAAACCATAAGATTTTGTTTTGTTTTGTCTTGTTTAGGGGAGGGTCTACAGGGTGTTCAGGATCTCACTACTAGATTGGACTCGTAGTAATCGGCCAGTTTACAGCCTCCCAAGAGCTGGGATTACAGGTGCACACCACCATGCCCAGTCTCAATTTCTGTCTCAGCACACCCCGGGGGCAGGCCAGCACAGATCATAAGATATTAATACATTTAACACAAAGTTATATTATTTTACTGTTGCAAATTTACAGAGTCATAATCCAGATCAATTTTGATTAAATGATTGAAATATCCTTTCTAAATTACACTTTACAAACATCTCAAATCCCTTATAACAATGTAAGCAAAATAACCTTTCCCTAAAAGATGAACTTGAGAACTTCAGTCCATTCCTTCAGGACCTGCACTTCTGCCTGAACTTCCTGATGGGGGACAACTTCTTTTTGGAGAGAGAGATCTGGACTTTGACCGGCTACTTTTTGGTTGTGAAAGAGACCTAGATTTTGATCTTCACCTGGACCAGGATTGGAAATACCTCAACCCTTTTATGGAACCTGATCTAGATCTTCTGAGTGAGGCTTATCTTGATAGACAAAGAGACACAGACTTTGATTGCCAAAGAGATGCCGATCTTGACCTCCGCCCTCTGCTCCTGCTGCAGGAGCGAGAATATCGCCCTCTGAATTGAGAATGTGATCTAGACCATGACCTGCTTCTTCTCCTGCTATAGCAATGACAATCGAAAGCATAATGTCCCTTTCGCCACACTCATAGCATCTATCATTGGGATCAAAGGGACGATGGGCAGATGGTCTATCAAAGCGAGATCTCCACATACCCATTGATAATTCAAACATCTCTTGGGAACCACAAATCACTTTTCCATCCAGTCCTCCTACTTCATCTTAAGCATCTCTAGGATCTTCAAATTCCACAAAGGCAAATCCTGGGGGATTTCTTGCAATCCATATTGTCCTTAAGGGACCACAATAAATGAAAGCCCTTTCTAATTCTCTTTTAATGGCACCCATTCCCAGGTTACCAACATACACCTTTGTTTCTCCTCCATACCACCTGTAATATGACATGTTGACTGGCCCATGTGCTCAGCTCTTTGGCATGGAAGGCTCAGGGCTCCAGAGACTCAGCAGCTATGGCCCACCTGCCCCTGCCAATTGTCCCAGCAGTACCTCATAGATCTTAATAATAGAAAAAGCTCTAAGGAATATCCAGCCAGAAAAATAAAACCTTCAGTGTCACTGTATCTTCAAGACTGCCCTTGCTTCTTTCAAATATTCCCCAATACTCCACTCTGATCAGCTTAATTTCAAAGCTCAGGTTATATCAAGAAGTAAAGGGACGGGGCTGGGGAGATGGCTCAGTGGAATAAGCACTTCCTTGGCAAGCGCAAGGACCTGAGT